GACTGAGCCACCCAGGCGCCCCAGCTCTCTTCCTTTCTAAGGCCTACCATATTTGCTTTCTTTTCTTCCTTATGCTCATATCATGTAAGTCGGGTTGTTTTCGCTGGTTTGTTCTAACCCACTTATATTTTGGGATTTTGAGGGATACCTTATCACCAAGGTTTATTATTGACATTGTCCAGTGTTGTTTTGTTTTATTGGTACTATCCTAATCCTTCTCTCTCTGCTTATAAGGAAATTTGAGTAGACTGAAACACTACATCACCACTAACCCTTCCCAATTTGTTTTCTTTTTTCAACTCTTCTTTTTTCCTCTTTTTTATAGCCTTCCTTTTACTTTTTTGGGTTTTCTCTGTTGTCATTTCATTATCATCTTATACTGAAAACCGAGTTTATTCACTTTCAAACTACCTTATTTCTTTTGTATATGTTGAAGGCTATAAATTTCATTTTAGGAGTTATTTATACTATATACTACATTTTGGTAACATTGAATATTTTTATTGTTTACTTATAAGTATTTGTAATTTCCTTTGTGATTTCTCCTTTACTCCATGAATCATTCGGAAGTAAAGTTTGGGTATTCGATTTTAATAATTACACATATCCTAAGATTTTCTCTGTCTAAATTTATGAGACATTCTAATTTTATTTCATTACTATCAAAGACATATGTATGATAATAATTTTTGAGATTGCCTAAGACTAATTTTGTAAATATGGTCAATTTTGATAAATGTTCTATGTAAGATTGTAAAGATATTTTCTATCTTTTATTGGAAATATATTTTATATTTTCCTTTTAGGACTGCCTTTGCTCCATCCCAAAGGGTTTGGACTGTTGTGTTTTCATATTCATTTGCTTCCATGTATTTTTTAGTTTCTTCTTTAATTTCCCAGTTAGCCCCTTCATTCTTTAGTAGGATGTTCTTTAATCTCCATGTATTCAGAGGCTTTCCAATTTTTTTTTCCTGTGGCTGATTTCAAGTTTCACAGCACAGTGTTCTGAAAATATGCATGGTATGATGTCAGTCTATTTTTTTTAACCTGTTTGAGGGCATTTTGTGACCCAGTATGAGATCTATTTTGGAGGATGCTCCATGTGCACTTGTGAAGAATGTGTATTCTGCTGCCTTGGGATGAAATGTTCTGAATATATCTGTTAAGTGCATTTGGTCCTGTATGTCATTCAGAGCCATTGTTTCCTAACTGATTTTCTGTCTAGATGATCTGTCTATTGCTGTAAGTGGAGTATTAAAGTCTCCTACAATTATTGTTTTATTATACAAAAGTTTGCTTATGTTTGTGATTAATTGATTTATATATTTGGGAACACCATGTTGGGGGCATAAATATTTATAATTTTTAGCTCTTCTTAAGGATAGACCCCTTAATTATGATATAATGCTTCTTCATCTCTTGTTGCACAGTCTGTTTTAAAAACTAGTTTGTTTGATATAAATATGGCTACTCTGGCTTTCTTTTGACATCCATTAGCATGATAAATGGCCCCTCACCTCCTCACTTTCAATCTGCAGGTGTCCTCTGGTCTAAAATGAGTCTCCTGTAGACAGAATATAGATGGATCTTTGTTTTTTGTCTATTCTGATACCCTGTGTTTTTTGACTGGTACATTTAGTCCATTTACATTCCAAGCGATTATTGAAAGATACGGATTTAGTGCCATTGTATTATCTGTAGATTTCATGTGTGTTTGTGATGTCTCTGGTCCTTTGTAGTTTTTGCTGCTTCCCACTCACAGAGTCCCCCTTAGGATCTCTTGTAGGGCTAGTTCAGTGGTCACAAATTCCTTTAGTTTTTGTTTGTCTGGAAAGTCTTTATCTCTCCTTCTGTTCTGAATGACAGTCTTGCTGGATAAAGGATTCTTGACTACCTATTTTTCCTATTCTGCTCCTTTTTGGCCTACCAAGGTTCAATAGACAGGTCTACTACCAACCTGATGTGTATTACCTTATAAGCTAAGGACCTTTTGTTCCTGGCTGCTTTCAGAATTTCTCTTTATCCTTGTATTTTGCTGGTTTCACTATGCTGTGTCATCATGTTAACCTGTTTTTGTTGATTTAGAAGGGAGTTCTCTGTGCCTCTTGGACTTGGATGCCTGTTTCCTTCCCCAGATTAGGGAAGTTCTCAGCTATAATTTGTTCAAATAAACCATCTGCCTCTTTCTCTTGCTTTTCTGCTTTTGGAACTCCTATGATACAGATATTGTTTCATTTCATGGAATCATTTAGCTCTCTAATTCTCCCCTCGTGATCTAGTAATTTCCTTTCTTTCTTTTTTCAGCTTCATCATTTTCCATAATTTTATCTTCTGTTTCACCTATTCTTTCCTCTGCTTCTTCCATTCTTGCTGTCACTGTATCTAGTTTATTTTTCATCCCATTTATAGCATTTCTTAATTCATTATGACAAGTCCTTAGGTCTTTGATCTCTGCCACAATAGATTCTGTGCTGTCTTCTATGCTTTTTTCAACCCCAGCTGTTAGTCTTATGACTGTTATTCTAAATTCTTATTCAGATACATTGTTAATATCTCTTTTGAGCAATTCTCTGGCTATGATTTCTTCCTGAATTTTGTTTTGGGGAAAATTCTTCCGTTTTGTCATTGGCACTAATTTCTGTCTTTTGCATGTTTTAGTAGCTTGTTATGTGTCTGCACCTGCGAGTACTACTATATTAAAAAGGGGCCATCCACTGTTGAGGGCCTGGCACTTCAGGGACTGTTTCTGGTGCACTCTATTGTTGCGTTTTGGCTGTTCTATCCCACTGGTCAGCCCTCTGTAGAGCTCCTCCTTGCTTGTGATGGTGGAGTGTTTGGACCTTCAACCAATGTGCTTTGATGTGTTTGTTGAAGTAACCCTGGAAAAAAAGGAAAAAGGTAGGGGGGAAGCCTGATCCCATAAAAAGAGAAAAATGAAAGGGGAGAAAAGAAGACCAAACAGTGAATCGAAAAACTATAAAGCTTAATCCAGAGAAAAAGAAAGGAAAATGAAGAAGAAGAAGAAGAAGAAGAAGAAGAAGAAGGAGGAGGAGGAGGAGGAGGAGGAGGAGGAGGAGGAGGAGAATAGAAAAGGTGTAAGGAGAATAAATGCCTGATCACACAAATATATATATATATATTTACATACACATATATACATGTATATGTATGCATATATATACATTTGTGTATATATATGTGTGTGTATATAAGAATTGACCAAAGAGAAATCAGAAACTATGAGCCTAATTCCAAAAGAAAAAAAGAAGGGGGTAGAAATAAAAAGAGAAGAAAAAGAAGGGAGAAATTAAAAAGGAAAGAAACAGACAGCCAGCCGGGCCAACAACAGCAACAGCACACGTGGTCTGTTGGCGCCTGGGACTGGCGGCCGCGTGGCCTGGGGGAGGGGCTCTGGCTCAGTGTCAGCCTTGTTCCAGTAGCTCTGCAGTTAGCAGGCTCCGAGGGCGGGGTTTGGTGTAAGGGGTCCCGCGCCAGGGGGCGCCGCTGCGCTGCTCTCAGAAGCCCCACCGTGCTGGTGATGGGGAGAATGGTGACACCCAACCTCTCCTCCCCACACGGGGTGTCTCGAACCCCACTGCTCAGGCAGCCCTCACAGAATAGCCTGGGCCTTCAGCTTGCCCTGTTCCTCACAGTTCTCCAGTGCCTTCTAGGAGCCCAGCTGGGATTCAAAACCCAGTCTTAAAGGATCCCACACAGCGGGGGCCCTGTTCTGATGTGCAGCCACTCCACTCTGCTGATAAAAGGCCTTTGACGGTGGGGGCAGGGGTCCCCTGGGTGGCTCAGTCAGTTGAGTTTCTGACTTTGGCTCAGGTCATGAACTTGCAATTTGTGGGTGTTTTTTTCTTTTTTAATTTAATGTTTATTTCTTTTTGAGAGACAGAGAGGCTGGAAGAGGAGTAGAGTGAGGGAGACAGAGGATCTGAAGCAGGCTCTGCATTGACAGCAGAGAGCCTGACACGGAGCTCAAACTCACTAACCGTGACACCATGACCTGAGCCGAAGTCGGGCGCTTAACCGACTGAGCCACCCAGGTGCTCCTGCAGTTTGTGGGTTTGAGTCCCACCTTGGGCTCTCTGCTGTCAGCACAGAGCCAGCTTCTGATCCTCTGTCCCCCTCGCTCTCTGCCCCTCCCCCACTTGTGCTTTCTCTGTCTCAAAATAAATAAACTTAAAAAAAAAAAGTCTTTGGCTGGCACTTGCAGGGTCTTTTGTCCTTGGGGAGGCAATAAACCCTCTTCCCAAAGTACTCTGGAAAGGGGACTGTTCTGTTCCAGCGTGCCCAGAGATCCCGACACTGCCTTGCGCTCTGGTCCGGCTTCCCCCTCCCCAGGAGCACCTGCTTGGCTCCTGGCTTAGCTCCAGAGAAAGTCGTGCACTATAGAAACCTCTGAGTTTCAGCTCCTAAAGCTGTTTGCAAAGTAGAAACTGGCACTCTCCATATTTCTCATTCCCCCACCCACAGTCCAGAGAGGTTTTCCTTTTGTGATAACTCAATGCCGACTTTTACAAGCTCTCTCTGTTCCGCTCCCTTCTGCCTCTGCATAGAAAGGCCTCCGTCCCTTCTGAGCAGGTGCCACTTTATCTCTACCACTTCCTATACACCCACCTCAGTCCCGCCAAGATGTCTCCCTCCGCCTGTAGAGATCCCTCTGCCACCCTGCAGATCGATTTCCTGGGTGTTCCAAGCGATCTGACCTCAGTCACTGCTGTGTTTGAGGGACCAGGGCAATCTCAGCCCCTACTTCTCTGTCGTCTTAACTCCGAAGAAATCTTACAGTTTCTGAGGGAGACTACTGAAGTCTCTTGGAAAAGCTAAGTTACTTTTCCTTTGCCTATTATTTTGTACAATTTTAAAGCAATAAAATGTTTAGTCATTCTTTCAATGATACGGACACAGAAAAGTGAACCCTGTATCTGAGTACTCAGGTAAAGAATCCTGGAGCAGATTTTTTGTTTGAACTATTTTACCTTCTTTTTTAGATTAAGTTAGAGTATGAAGGAACATCATTTTCTGAGTGGAGTGTGCCAGCAACTTGTTCTGTGAAAAATAAAAGGTAAGATCTTTGCTGCTAATGTCAATATAATGCATGTATTTACACATAAAAAAGTATTCATGTAGCATGGACAGCCAGGTTTAACGCCATGACTGAATGTAAATTGCTTCTCAGTAAATAGATGTGAGAAGAAAGACAAAATCTCTTTGAAAATAAGATATAGGGCGCCTGGGTGGCTCAGTCAGTTAAACATCCAACTTTGGCTCAGGTCATGATCTCCAGGTTTATGAGTTCGAGCCGGGCCTCAGGCTCTGTGCTGACAGCTAAGAGCCTGGAGCCTGCTTCGGATTCTGTGTCTCCCTCTTTATCTACTCCAGCTTCTCTCTCTCTCTCTCTCTCTCTCTCTCTTTCTCTCTCTCTCTCTCTCTCAATCTCTCTCTCTTTCTCTCAAAAATGAATAAACATTAAAAAAAAATTTAAGAAAATAGGATAAATGTAAAATATTGCTGTATTTTTTATTTTTCTTATTAGCATACAATTAATGTTTTTAGGCTTAAAAAGTAGTGTGGGGGGGGGGGACAGTTTCTAACCCGTGTGCTTATTTCTCTTTCTGTTCTTTGTAAATACTAGCTCACCCCAGACGGAGCTGCGGTGTTCTTCTCCTGGCATTCAGACAATAAGGCCAATTGTTGTGGGCCCAGTGAGTTGATTTTAATGATAACTTATTAAATCTTGAGTAACTATCTCCGTTACATTTTCTTTGCCTTATTTTGAGCTTTCAACCTAATTTAATCCATGCTAAATAGTATGTGTTAATCCTAGAGAAGAGGAATGTTTAAGTTATTGTCAATCCGCCTCTAATTTTCAGATATATCTCACAGCAGATTAAAAGTTATGAACTGGTATGTGATTTGCACCTTGGCCTTTTTGCCAAGAAGTGTGTGAAAGCCCCAGTTACCACCTTACTGGTAACAGTATTCCCCAGTGAGTGGGTCTCGTGCCACATACTTATAGCGATTCCCTGGATTACAAAGCCATTTCTAGCAAGTTTCTTTTTACTCTGTTTCCTTCGATTCAAGAAAGTATTTGTGAATGCACATGCAGGAGAGTGATGTTGAATCCTCTCTGGTTTACAAAAAGAGAAGTTAAGCGTTAATAACATTGGCTCTCTACTAATTAGTACCACGTGCCGGCCACACACTCACAGCTGATATTCCCACACAAGTGTGTGTGACGCCACTGCCAGAGAGACTCCGTGTGACACATCTTGACTTTATTTTGGAGCTTGTGGCTTCTTTTGAATTCCTAACCTTCATTTTCAGAGAACAAGTAGAGTGATGCGGAAGAGGCCAAATGATTATTAATTCATTGTTTCAAAACTTGTCGATTGAAAAATATTTTAATTTGAGGGCTTTGAGTTTATGAATCTTTACCAGTTTCATGGACACAATTCCGAGGAAGTAAAGGCTTACTCCTTTTCCTTTTGTTGCGTGTTAGAAGCCCAAATGTGCAATGCTATACACACACACAAACACATGCATAGAGAAGAATATCTTTGTCATTTATGGACAGTGCCATCAGATCTTATAACCTTTAAGTATGTACATGTGACTTTAGAAATCCATTCAAAAGCACTCAGAGATGACAACCCAAAATGTCTCGAGGCTTTGCCGGTGTCCCCTGGTGAGCAAAATCGTCTCTGATTCAGAACCATCAAAGAAGGAAATGAACTGAATTGTGTTTCAGTGAGTAAGACTGTCCAGGAAAACTCACTATTTTCCTTCATACACTCACAAGAACATTCTGTTACCACATGAGGTATAGGGGGTTGGTTTCCACACTGACTAATTCTCTGACTCCAGCTGAGTGTCATACAATTCAAAGTTCTGGCATTTTCTACCTGGAGTTAACTTCCCATCCACAAGGTAAGGGCTCGGTCCCACGAGACTGCTCCACTTCAGATGCCAATTGCAAGTCCCAGTTTGTCACCTGTCCTCGTGACCGACTGTCCATAAATCCGGGTTCCTAGAACCTTCTCCTTAGGGTCAATAATTTGCTAGACCAGGTCACAGAACTCAGGGAAACACATTTAGAGGTTATAATAAAAGATATGATAAAGGATGCAGGTGAAGAGCCAGAGAAGAGCTGTAGGAGGCAGAGGCTTTATGGAAGGCCTTCGGAAGGGCCCTGTGCACAGAGCTCCCGACCCCGTGGTGCTGGTTTGTGTCACGCTGCCAGCATGTGGACATGTTTACCAAACTCGTTTTTGTGGGGCTCCAGTGCATAGGCGTGATCAATCATTAACTCATTTTCTAGTCCCTTTCCTCTCTCCAAAGGGTGGGAGGTTGAGCTAAAAGTTCCAAGCTTCTAATCATGGCTTGGGCTTTCTAGTGATCAGTTCCCATCCAGGGTCCCACCCTGAGTTGCCTCATTAGAACAAAAGGGACTGAGGAGCTCTGTGTCACCGCTCCCCCACCTCACCTCCCCACCCCCCCCCCACCACCATCATTCAGGAGATTATGAGAGTTGTAGGAGCTCTACCTCAGGAACCGGGTCAAAGACCAAAGATGAGCAGGAACTGGGTGTGAAGACCAATACATACATGTTTTACCATTTCCAAACACAGATATAACAAACTTGTCACTCACGGTAGTAAGTTCATAAGTACAGAGAGTAGCTACTGAATTGAACCAGTATTACATGAATATTCATTAGTTCTATTCCCAAATGTGTTCATTACACTTCCTCTCATCTTAGATCATTAGTTTAGTGCCTCTGTGACTTTTCTGCCTGTATCCAAATTTGTACTTAAAGTTACCTTCATATATCATAGTTTCTTTGGCATTTTCTTTTAGGACTCAGATGAAGAACGCAATTTGTCTGTGGAAAATTCTCATATCTGCTTCCTGTGGTATCATAAAGTTATGTAAGTAAGGCAGTCTTGAATACAAAGATAATTAATGCTTTCTCAGAATATTTAGATTTAATTTTTTAATTAACCACAATATGGATTATCTACATCATACTTTTCATATAAGCTTTTCACTCACCAATCAAGGTACCCTCAAGTAAAGTGCCAGACTAATACTGGGAAACAAACAATAAAAATAAGAGTAGCAACCACTATACTTTTAATGTTTGTACTTGATGTAAATTATCTCTCTCAATTTTCATAATAAACACTAATGTGAGTATTGTTATCTTTATAAATGAGGAAATATAAGCTTGGATAGGGTAAATAATTTGGATAATAATACACAGCTACTAATAGACAGCATTGGGATTTGATGCTGGTTTTTCAGACTGCAGTCCTCTTTTATTTCCATTATATACATAGTTTCTCCAACCCATTGTAACATGAGAGGGAATGGAAGTAACTAGAAAGAGGAGACTGGTACAGGAAAAAATAATTAACTGGATCAGAAAGTCATTTGATAAGTTAAAACCATCAATGAATCAGAATATTTTTCAGTGTCACAGTCATGGCAATATCCTAAGCCCGGATAGGGTACAGGGAACTGTGTATTATGTGGCCCCTGCTCTCCAGAGGACTCTTCAACCTCGCCTTTCATTGGCCCACAGTGATCCCTTGAGGACTGACACGTGACCCAGGCAGACCCGATCCAAAGGCTTGTGTCTTCTGTAAAGCGTGGTTGTTGCTGATAGTTGTCTTGGTCCACGTGGTCCCTTAAAAGTCAGATGGCTCTGCAGCTTATATGCATTTTTTGAACTAGAAGCCCCGATACCTAGATTTTAGCCACCCCTTCCAGGAGTACACATTCCATTCCCCTCGGAAATACTGCCCCTTCCCAGACTCATACCAAGAAGCAAGGATTGGGTCTCTGCTGCTCCTGAACCTGGCAGGCTTCTGTCCTCGTTGGGAATTTCAGAGATACCAATCTGCAGCTTCCTCTTGTGGGTTTTGAAACAACTGAGAAATAGAGGGTAGTTTGGGGATAAAAATTCCTAGTACAGCTGAATTGGAGAATAGAACCTGGCTCTCTGTCCAAATGGGTTATTTTCTGCTTCCTCCAAGCAGCAACCAGGGGGCCATCAGAGCAGAGAATCTACCAAAAAAGCACTGATATCCAGTTTCACAGGCTTCCAATCTCACTCACACACACTGAGCCCGGAGAGCTGGTGAAGGAGATGGGCCTTCACACTTCTCTGATCTGGTCATGAACCGTGGAAGCAAAATCAGAAGGAGAAACACCTCTCTCGGGGGCAGGTGAACCCAAAGAGACAGCTCAGTGGGAGCTAAGTGTTTTTCTGTCATGTAAGTGGTAAAAATGTTCACAATCTGTCACCTGTAAAAATACCATGTAAAGGATGCACTGAAACTAATACCCGTGTATTCATCACACAAGTCACAGAAGAGAACATTACCAGCACTGTAGAATCTGCTACTTAGAAATGCGGAATCTGGGACCTCATTCAAGACCTCCTAGATTGTTACCTGCATTTTAACAAGATTCTGAGTCGTCATATGTACATTATTGTTTAGGATGTCCTACTCTGATGCACAGAAATGAAAGCTTCTGTAGGATATAGACCTCAAAGTACAATTGACTAAAAGTAGGATATGCATTTGTTCAAGTTTACTTGGTAATGCCTAAATGCCTTTTGAAAAGATAATTCAAATCTACATCTACACCAGCAGTGGGTGAGTGTTCCGTTGTGCTACCTCCTCACCAACCCTCAACATTACCTGACTTTAACTTTCCAGTCTAGTAGATGTGCAGTTGTGTCATTGTGCTATTTATTTGCATTTCCCTAATTACTATCGAGCATATTTTCATTTATTAATGAGGAACTTTTCTTCCCTCCCTGCTCAATGAGCATTTTTACCCATTATTGAGTTATTCTTATGTTTCAGAATAATTTACAAGGTTTCATTCTAATGACTAGGACATTATATATTTCAATATATATATTGAAAGAATTTTATCCCAGTTCATGCAACTTTTCACTTCTTATGATCTCTATTGATAACAGAGGTCCTTGCTATCATAGAAGAATTTACCAGCTCTTACCTTAATTGGTTTGTGACTTTTTATTTTTTTATTTTATTTTTTTTAAATATTTTTATTTATTTCTAGGAGAGAGAGAGAGACAACATGAGCAGGGGAGGGTCAGAGGGAGAGGGAGACACAGACTCTGAAACAGGTTCCAGGCTCTGTGCTGCCAGTCAGCACAGAGCCTGACGTGGGGCTCGAACCCACGAACCGCGAGATCATGACCTAAGTGAAAGTCAGACGCTTAACCGACTAAGCCACCCAGGCGCCCCTGGTTTGTGACTTTTTAAAGCAATTTAAGAAATCTTTTTCTCTAAGTTCATAAAAATAGCCTCCTATGTTGTTTTCTGAAAGTTGCACATAGTTTTGACTTCCACAGTTAGGTCCTTAATCCATCTGGAATTAGTTTTTGAATACACTTGGAGATATGGATAAATTTTATTTTTTTTCCATGTGAATAATTAATCTCATCAGACCCATTTATTGAATAATGTATTTACCTATAGTGTCTGCTTTGTCATAGATCAATTTTCCATGTATTTATGTGTTTCTTCCCAGCTGGCTCTTCTGTTCGGCTGATCTATTTGTTTACTTAATAAATACTACATTATCTTTATTGCTACAATTTCATTTTTCAAATCTTGATGAATGACAGTGCAAATGCCTGGCCCACTCTGACCCCAACTTTTGTTCTTTCCCAGGAGTCTCTTAGCTCTGTCTTGAGCCTATGAGTTTTTAGAATTGGTTTGTCAAATTCCACAAAACTCTCATCATACGGATTCTTATAATGTGTCTAAATATTTAAATCATTATGGAGAGTTTCAGCTCATGTACAGTATATAACCTTCCATATATTTTGGTCTTTTTATATGTCTGCCAAAAATATTTTGTAATTTTTCAAAAAGTGCCTGGACATTTTTATTAGACCTATTCCTAGATGCTTTATATTTTTGTCTCTATTACATGCAGTTTTTTGAAACTACATTTTCTATCCAGATCTTCCTGTGGTATAGAATACAACTTACTATTGAATATTGAGTTTTCTATTCAGCAATCTTGCTAAACTCCTATATTAATTCTAATAATTTATTTATATATTCTCTTGGAATTTTTACAAATCCTATCACCTACAAATACTGACTTTTTTTTTTAATCCCTTTCCAATTAAGTATATCTTCTCTTTCTTTTATTCTGACTGCGTGGCTAGAATATTCAAACACAATGTTTCCTAGAAGGGTGAAAGCAGGCCTCCTTGTCTTATTCCTGATTTTAAAAGGGAGGCTCTCACAATTTTGCAGAATATTTATTACCAATTATGAATTAACCTCTACCCAGTTGAGGATGTTCCCTTTTATTCCAAGTTGACGGTGAATTTTGCTTATGAATCGGTGCTGAAGTTCATTTAAGGTTTTTCTACTTACACTTCAAAGTTCATCTGGTTTTTCTGTTTTACCATGTTAATGAAGAAAATCATTATTAATATTTCTATATTAAACTAACCTAGTATTTCTGGAATAGGCCAGCTATTCCAGAATTCTTGGTGAATTCTCTTTCATGTACATTGATGGATTTTCCTTGCTGCTGTTCCATTCAGATCTTTCTGGTGTGGATGTCACGAGTGAGTTTGGCCTTCAGTCTTACTCCCTGTGTACTGTCATTCTTCACATTCGGTATCGGGAGTGTGCTAGACTCAGCATGTAACTTAGGAGTGGTCATGCTTCTCTATTCTGAGAGATTTTGTGTTACACTGGAAGTATATGTTCCTTGAGTATTTGATGGAAGCTTGCGCTAAAATTTACTTGGATCCGGATTTCATGGGACGGGGGCGGGGGGGGGGGGGGGGGGAGGAAGTATTCCTAAGTGTTAGGTCCACTTTTTAATGGTTATAGTGCTATTTTGGAATTCCAATTCTTGTTAAATCCATTTTTGTAAGTAGTATTTTTTTCAGAAATGTATTTATGTCTTCAGTTAGCAATCTTAGTATCAATTTTAATATCATAAAGTTGTCTGTAATATTCTCCTGTATTTTTTAGTCGGAGGTGGCTGTAGTTACACTTCTGTTTTAACATTTCTAATAATTTAATTTGTGCCTTCCTTTGTTTCCTTGTCCATGTGGTACCCCTGTTTTATTAGTCTTCTCAAGAGAACCATCTTTTGACTTTTTGAGCTTGTCTATTACAGTCTATTTTATCTTGACTCGTATTTTCTATGATTTCGTTGAATTTGTTTTTCTAAAACTTCAATTGGCTATTTAGCCCATTAGGCTTGAGGCTCTCTTTTTTTCTAATATGCGTGTTTAAGGCAATCACTTTTCTTCTACATACTTCTGTGACTGTATTCAACAAATATTGCAAACACATCCTAAGTGTGGTTTTCTTTATTGCTCAGAAATAAATTTCTAATCCTTGCTACAATTTGTTTGGCCAATGAGTTCGCTAGAAAGGCATTTTTGGAGGCACCTGGGTGGCTCAGTTGGTTAAGCATCTGACTCTTGATTTTGGCTCAGGTCATGATCTCACAGTCGTGGGATCGAGCCCCATGTCAGGCTATGTGCTGGGTGTGGAGCCTGCTTAAGATTCTCTCTATCCCTCTGCTCCTCTCCCCCACTCGTGCTCTCTTTCTCTCAAAAACTGTTTTTTAAATGCATATTTCAATTTACAAACCTATGAATGTTTTTAATTATAACCTGACTGTATTGGGACAAGAATTGCTGGAGTAAGTTTTTGACCTAGTGTCTAGTCAGTTTTCACAATATCCCATGTGTACCCATAGAAAATACATTTTCCTACTGTTAGATCAGATACTATAATCACACAAAAGTAGATCAGATTTGTTAAGTCAACTGTCCAGATCTTCTGTGTGCTTACTTGACTCATTGTTGGTTTGATCTATCAATTAATGAGAGGGCTCT